AAAAAAGAAGAGTTGGATTTACTAGTTTACTGATCAAATACCAAGGTTAAAAATTTACAGATAATATGTGAAGGTATTGTTTAATGACTGAATTGATCTTAACTTAAAACCACACTTAATCATTTGACCTGTATATGATACAGACTATGGTTAGTCAGAAAGAACTTGATTAAGGGGCAAAACATTTAAGGCAAATCAAGCATTTTGTTGTTTTCATGGGTCAATTACTGAATTAATAAGGATCTTTGGTTAATATATCTAATATTGATGCGTGTTTTTGATTTCTGGTTAACGTGTAAAACTAAAAAAAAAAAAAACCAAAACACATTTTAAAAGCATTTAAGACAACCTGTTGCAAACTGCTTTGAATGTCACATAACCGCACAACTGTTCTGAAATGTTAATTTTAAATGTAGTGAAATGTTTAGAATGAAAGAAGAGAGCAGTAGCCTTTCATCTCTTAAAGAGGAGTTTGCCCAGCGAATTGCAGATGCTGAAAAGAAGCTCCAGCTAGCCTGCAAAGAAAGAGATGCTGCTAAAAAGGTAATTTGGCTTTTTAGTGAAACTAATGTTTATTATTTTAGAACACAATTGAATTTCTTGAGGTAAATTCATAAAAATTAAGCTAGGGAAAAGCATGAGACAGACAGGTCCTATCTCATGGTATTAGTAACCAGCACAAGCTCATTCTAGCCTCCTGGACTGCTTGTTATTTCCTTGTGTTGACACATGTATTCTTGCAGCTGTGTTGTGAACCAAGTTAGGGAGCTCATTTAAGTTAAAGTTAGTCTGGTTTGGGGCGGGGGGGGGCAGGTTTAATGTCTGCCTTTCATTTACCTTGTACCCATATATGCATTTGCATTGGTGTGACAGAGAAGAATGGGAATGGCTTCTTTAGAGGATTAACTGGTAGGAAAATTAAGGACTGATGATGGATTGATTTGGAATGAGCGAAGAATTCTGCAGCCACAAAGTTTATGGAGTTTAAATGTTCTTGACCTGGTATCATAGCATTACATTTGTCTAGCTTATTGCTCATCTGCAAAAAGTAAAGTCTGTAACTGGAAAAAAAAAAATACTTTTCACAGTTGTATTGCCACTGTATGTGTCACTGTGTTGGCACAGTAGTAAGTTGAATTAGATAAATTATCTGATACCTGTGTGTGAATATAAGTTTGTTTTCACTATACTGCAAAAGCTTAAAGTATAGAAAGTGAAATGAAAGGAGGAGTTGGAACAAATTGTACAGAGAATTCATGGAGTCTTAATCCATGGAGGTTTTTAAAACTTGGTGGAATAAGGCTCTGAGCAATCTGATTTGATCAGATGATCTCCAGAGTTCCCTTCCAGCCTAAATTGTTGTTGAGAGGGAGGGAAGAAGAAAAAGGTCATCAGTGAAACTTACTGTGCTTTTTTTCCCTAAATATATTTTAATAAATGGTCCTAAGTATTTTATCCTTTTATTTAGGAAGTAAAGACTGTTAAAGAAGAATTAGCTACTAGACTTAATACCAATGAAACTGCTGAATTACTGAAAGAAAAAGAAGAGCAAATCAAAGGATTAATGGAGGAAGGTGAGAATTACAATTTCTTTATAGTAAAAATCTGTAGAGTAATTTGAAATGTACTGCCTTCGTATACAAGCCTTCTTTATGTAGGGAAAAAATACATTTGAAGCATGTTAGATGTTTCTGAACATTTGAACCATTTAGTTAATAGCAAAGAGTGACAGGAGGGATCAGTCAAATACAGATGGCTAGAGGGATGCTTTCTGTAGTATGCATTAAATAAGAGGTGCTGTGAGATAAAACTAGCATGCAGTACAACGCTCTGTGTTCTAGTCAGCAGAAATCTAACTAGGGCATTGTTCAAGGCAGTTCTACAGTGTCTCCCTTACTAGTGTTTAATTTTGGAAGTAAAATACGGTTACTAAATGAACGGGACATTTGGGGTTTTTTTCCAGATATGATGAGCTCATTTGCTTTATTTTCAAAGCCTTTCACTGCCTGTCCTATCTCACTTTGCTTAGTGTAGCAAGGTCGTCTCAGAATAAGGTAGATTTAAAACTTGCATGAAAAAATGTAAGAGTAAGTATTTCGATACATATTTGATTAGTATTTTCATGGGACTGAAGAGCGGGGGGAGGTGTGAATAGAGAGAGTTCACAGAGTAACAGCCCTATGCACTAGCTTTATGCTCATTTTCTTCACAGGAGAAAAGCTTTCTAAACAGCAGCTGCACAATTCCAACATTATTAAGAAATTAAGGGCCAAAGAGAAAGAGAGAGAAAATACTAACACAAAACAGAGCAAAAAGATTAAGGAATTGGAAGAGGAGTTGCAGCATTTAAAACAGGTGAGATATTTGCAATTTTTTTCTTTATTTAAAAGCTTTTTGTATTAGTTTTAGAGTAGCCTTTTGGGGAGGCTCTAGATAGACTGATATTTTTTTCTCTTCTGGGAAACTTCTGTATTTCATATTATTGGGACGCTGACATGTGATTTCTGTGTGTGTTCTCAGAGCAGTTTAAATCTGCGGCCGGGTATCTATCCAGCTGCTTGTTTCCACTTGCACTGCTGGTTATCATGTGGGCTGACCAAATTCAGTACACTAAATATTAGCTGGAAAACCTGTGCCAGCAAAATTTGGGCAGTTTTTTGCTTGGTTAGCGATTGAATCGAGACCTTAACAAGCCGCAGACCTAGTATGAGGAAATATGTGAAACTGTGGTGAAGAAGAGCCCCCCCTCTTGGAAAATGGGGGAGAAAAACCTTTCTCTTGCAGTGTTGTGCTAGATTGGTTTAGTCATTTTGTGTAACTTCACCCTGAATTGGTTGCCACATTTGTCATTGTCCTCAGATGGCGTCCCCATATACTGGGATTAGTCTCATGCTTGTTGTATGCACTCTGCTAGGTGCTTGATGGCAAGGAAGACCTTGAGAAGCAGCATCGAGACAGCATTAAACAACTGAACAGTGTTGTAGAGCGACAAGAAAAGGATCTCGCTAAACTTCAGGCAGAAGCAGAAGACCTTGAAGAACGGAACAGAAGCGTCCAGGCAGCACTTGACAGTGCATACAAGTAAGCAGATATTTGCGTGCCTGTCTTCAACCATACATTCAGTTTCTGCTTCTGTTTCTCGTGCGATGCTTGTGAAATGTTGATTTATAACTAAGTTATTTGAAAAGTCACTGTTGGCATTGTATAAACTAAAAAGCGTTATTTCTCCTCCCTCCTCCTGCCCCCAGGGAACTTGCAGATCTTCATAAAGCTAATGCTACAAAGGACAGTGAGGCACAAGAAGCAGCCCTAAGTCGGGAAATGAAGGCAAAGGAAGAACTTGGGTTAGCTCTGGAGAAGGCCCAGGATGAGGCACGACAGCAACAAGAAGCTCTGGCAATTCAGGTGGGTCTTAAATGCAGAGAATAGAACTTCTACATTGAAAAAGCGAATGTACTGTGGTGGTGTGTGCATCTGGCATAATGAACCAGATGCAATAAGAGGTAGAACTTTTTTTTTTTTTTTTTTTTTAATCTTTAAAAATTTTTTTTTTTTTTAATACTTAGCAAATAACCGATGGATTTCTTTCCTGTGAACTTGTTCAGTCTTTAGTGGTAGTTGGGCTAAGCTTCAAAATTTTACTTTTATTAAAAAATACTTTTAATTTTACTTGTCGAAATAAAGGAACTTTGACAGGCTCTGTGTTAAGTTTGTAGTGCTTTTGCCACGATGCAAAGTTCAAGAAATTTAGCTGGACAAAATTTTTAGTGATAGATAAGTGACTCTAACTATTTGTGTGCATGCAAAACTTTGGTGTTTGACTTGTAAAGAGACATACCCTGTCTAACGGTTCAAAAATTGTATGGGACTGTAGCAATGAATAAGTGATGAATGAATGCATGAATATATAGCTATGAATACTATAACTTTCAGCAAGAGATTAGTGACGATGTCTTGTTTGTTTAGGTGGCAGACCTGAGGCTAGCGCTGCAACGTGCAGAACAGCAGGCAGCAAGAAAGGAAGACTATTTACGCCAGGAAATTGGTGAACTACAACAGGTGCTGTAGCAAATAGATGATGCCAACTTGTATCTGCAAGGAGGGCTTCTAAAAACTGAAAATAGAATGCTAGTATGACATTAATAGCCTGACAAAGAGGCTTTGTTTTCCTGGTTACCTGCAGTATTTGTTCTGTGTAGAACAACAATGAAAATATTAAAGGATTTTTTTTTTTTAATGACATATTGAAAACAATCATAATTTTTGTGATGCCTTTTAAAGGTAATGCTATCCTTTCAGTTTACGACAAAGTATAGCCATTAAGTTTGTAATAGACTTCTACAATTTCTAGCCAGTATGTTCTAAATTACTCTTTACCTGCTTCTTAAGAATATTTGTCTTGTTCTTAAGGTCCAGAAAATAAATTGTTGCCAAAATGTTTCAAGTGGTGTCCAGAGGGCTCTTGAAATGTAAATTTCTGTGCTGTTGCTCTGTCATGTATCTAGCAATGTTAGGCTTCTGTCTTGAAATTTCATGCTTTACTGTGAGTCTGAACATACAAATTTTAGAATGTAAAGCAACTGCTATGTGTTTAGCTGGATTCTGTGTTAATCTTTTAATCCATCGTATCATTTTAAAGCTTAGTTATATTTAATTTGTGATTTCAGAGACTCCAAGAAGCAGAGAGCCGGAACCAAGAACTAAGTCAAAGTGTTACATCTGCTACACGGCCACTTCTCCGGCAGATAGAAAATCTGCAAGCCACGCTGGGAGCACAAACCTCTGCATGGGAAAAACTGGAAAAGAACCTTTCTGACAGACTTGGTAAGATGTCTTTAGCTTTTACTGGGCTGTGAGGCTCTTTATGAAGATACGAGATGGCTGAAGGTAAATGAAAAGGGCTTGACACTTGCCCAAAGTGTAGATGGTTGGTCAGGAGAGATGAGCACAAAATCTCCTTCTGTAAGGACACGGTATGTGGGGTATTCTGCCAAGGTTCTTGGACAGGTAATTCACTGATTCTGTTTAAAACACAGCGTAACATAAGATCTTAAGATGGAGGTGTTAAGGTGTACGTGTTCTTACAGCGTCTAAAGGAAGGGATGGACATTGAGACACTGGAAGTAACACCAACATTTTCAGTTGTCACGCTGGTGCTTAGATTCTGTGTTGTAAGGTTTGAATCATTTACTTATCTACTGCATAGCTAATGAGGCATATATTTGTTGATACAGTAGTAATCTATTATATGAAATGAAAAATGCCTCAAATGTCCAAATGTGGACACAGAGAAATTACTCCTTTTCTGGAGGCAATCTGTAGTTGTATACTGAATTCTGAAAGAGTACGAACTCTCCTTGTTCTGCATTGATTTGTTCCTCTAACTGCTTGGTGGAAAATATTTAATTTCCTTTACAATAGAAACCAGTTCTGGGTTTTTTTTTTTGTAAAAGAAAAATCAGTTTTAATCTAAAAAAAAAAGATCAAATTCCATTTTGATGCTTAAATGATTGGCCCGTATTATAGATGTTTGATCAAAAAAGTTAAACTCCATGCTTTTTTTTACTTAATATTAGGTGAGTCTCAAACTCTTCTAGCAGCAGCTGCTGAGAGAGAACGGGCTGCTACAGAAGAACTTCTTTCTAATAAAATTCAGATGTCTTCTACTGAATCTCAGAATAGTCTTTTAAGGCAAGAAAATACACGCCTTCAGGCTCAGCTAGAAGTGGAGAGAAACAGACTGAAAAAAATGGAAAATGAAAACAGCAGGTGAGTTGCATTTTTGGTTAACAGTGTCTCTTTAAAACTGTAGTGAAATGGAGTAAGCTCTCTTGTACGCAACCGTCTGCAGCGGATCTCTTTGCAAGTTGGAAGACTTGATTCTTTTGAGTGTTGACAATGATGCTGCAAAATGATGACAGCTATTGGTAAAGTTGCCCAGCTTGTTAAGGATATTTTGTTTGGTGCTAAACATTGTCTGAAGTATGTTACTTTCATAATGTTTTAAAGCCTGGAAGATATGTTTGTTTTAAAAGTATATGAATGTAAAGTAAACGCAGAATACTTATTGGTTGACTTTCTCTACCTCTTTCTTTCCTCAATATAGGTATGAGGTTGAACTAGAAGGACTCAAAGATGAGTATGCAAAAACCTTGGAAGATGCAAAGAAAGAAAAGGTATTGCCCGCTTCAACTTTAAGCTGTGTTACCGCTGAAGTCTGAGCTGGCAGGATTTTAACTGCCTGTGTTTGTTTTTGTAGACGCTGCTAGCTACTCAGTTAGAAATGGAGAAGATGAAAGTTGAACAGGAAAGAAAGAAGGCAATTTTCGTGCAAGAAGCAGCAAAGGAGAAGGTACCAAAACCTGACATTTCTATGCAATCTTACTGATACTATCATTATTTTAGTATGTATGTAGAGCCTGAAACCGTTGCAAGCAATAAAGTGGACCTAGAGCAGTACGGTGTATACTGTCAGCCTAGGCATTAGGGGCTTGGCTTTTTCTTTATGTTCATGCCTTTTGTTTCCAGTGAAGTAAGTGCTTGTGCGATGCGATGCTGAAATGAGTCTTGAGTAAAACAGTCTATTTAACCTGAGAAGAGAGAAAATACGGATAATGATTGGTTTCATCTTCTGATTTTTTTTTTTTTTATTGAATGCTCTTGCATTCTTTTTCTTCTGAAGCTGCTTGTTGTCTTTGCTTAGACTTCTAGCATTGCTTCCACTGAATTCCTGTTTTGCGTTTCATGTGACTGTGTGTAATGTACCACATGCTTTCCAGCTTAAGTCACAGAACAGTCCTCAATAGTCAGTAACTTTTGTTACTGCTAATTAGCAGTTGAAACTCAAGTAAAACTGTTTCTGTTACTGGTTTCTTACCATCTCCAGTTCTAAAATCTGAGTGCTTTATCCTTCAGAGGCTAGCGTACTTTCAGATGCTGCCTGTAAAAAGACGTTAGTCTGTTTGGAAGGTGTGTCAGTAAGGTGTTAGCACGTGAGAACTCAGAATTGCATTCCTACACTTTACTTAAAAAAAAAAAAAAGTATTAACATGCATTCTAAAAAGAGACTTTTAGGGTATTCTTCCTGTGACACATTTGGGCATACAAAACTGCCTCTGAATCTCCTTTGGCTACTTGAGAGAGAAATTGTTTCGGTGTAATTTTCAACTTCTGTCTTTCCTGGAAAGTCTGAGGGTGTGAACATAGGCTAGAAGTGTTAGTAGCACAGTAATTCTTGTTGAACTTTGGTATGTTTTAGGGATGGGGGAAGGGAAAGGTTATCTGTCACATTATGTTCTGTAGTTGGTGGTGGAAAAGGGCAGTCTGTTCTGTACAGAATCTGTCTTTCACCATCTTTATCTTAACTGGTGATGTTGTGTGTATGTGTGGTGTTTGTGGGTTGTTTTGTTTTTTAAGGATCGGAAGTCATTCACAGTTGAAACTGTCTCAAGTACTCCAACTATGTCACGCTCTAGTTCCATAAGTGGAGTTGACATGGCAGGTCTTCAGACATCGTTCCTCTCACAGGTATCATATATCAGTTACATTGGCTTTTTTTGACAGACTGCTTTTTTTCCTCTTCAAGGACTTTTATTAATGTGGAAAATGACTCTTCAAGAGTATATTGGCCTTGGATGAGGTAATTCCTATGCAGAAACATCTAAAACCTGCTTACAAGTTGTCTATGATTGTAAAACATCTGTGAAAGCGTGAAACTACCACTTCTGTTGCAGAGTAATAAATACATGTATTGGTTCACATGTCTAACTTCATCTAGAAGAATTGGATAACACTAGTAGGAGTCAAATAAATTGATTTAATTTTACTAGCAATCCTGGCTTAGGGCACAACCCTGCTCCCTAGGGCGTATCATTGACTGTTGCGTTCTGTGAGAAGTCTGCTGCTGTCCTACGGATACAGTTATTGATGTCCAATTTAAATGGCAGTTGTATAGGTGACATGAGAACTTGCTAGTAAGGAGCTATCTCAGATTGTACCTATTCACCTTAAGCTTTTGTTTTAAAAACAAACTTTAAGCATTGAAATGGTTGCTGAGTAACAGTATAATTTTAAATCTTAAATGGAATACTACTTGGGGAGAGGGAGGATTCCAAGGGGTGCACTTTTTTGTCTGATTTTAAGCTTCTCTAACCTTTTGTTTGTAGGATGATCCTCATGATCACTCATTTGGGCCAATAGCTACTAGTGGGAGCAATCTTTATGATGCTATAAGGATGGGAGCAGGTTCAAGTATAATTGAAAACCTTCAATCACAGCTAAAACTAAGAGAAGGGGAGATTTCACATCTACAGGTACTGTAGTTCATCTCCTATAATTAAACACAGCATTTATAAGTGTAAATGCTAATACAGTCAATATTAAATTCAAATTTTATATTCAATATAAAATATATGCAATCAACTTTATATTCAGAAAGCTTGGTCCCTTTCCTCACAGCAGAGTGTGTTTGCTCTTCCCTTTCCATGACAGTTCTATTAACCAGGAC